GGCATCCAAGTCAGCACCACCGCTATCCACAGTAACATGGGTCCACATAGCACAGGCGATTGAATATGGTGACACCAGACTCACTCCAGCTTCTAACAGATCCTGAGATTTCTTCTCTGGATTGCTGTGCAGCTGTACTACTAGCCTTCTTTGGTCCCAGTACCAAGGCCCAGGGAGAGGTGGGGCATGTCTTCAATCTCTGTGACTTGTTCACTATTTGAGGGCTATCCTCTGTGACCCAAATCTACAACCCACAGTCCAGAGAATCAGGCTCACAGATGTGGGCTATCAATTCTACGAGGAGGTTTCGGTGGGCTGCAACCATTAGGACATCTTCTTTTCTTAGGCTTCCCTCAATAGTTACAATGTTGAACTTCATTTATCATTGCTTTTTTGGAATGCCAGATTCTTTAAAATATAATAGCACAACACTGTTGCATTGTTTTTAAAAATTACCATAAAAACATTCCTAGATGTTTGCAGTAACATGTGGGTAGATGCCAACATTAGATTTAGATAACTACTTCGTTTCCAATACCAGATATAGGTCAGCAGGTGTATTTCTGAATATTTATATTCTGAGTTTTTTATGTTTCTCAGCTTTTTATTATCATGAAAGTTAGTGATAGAGAACAATGGCTACAGGATTCATGTCAAATTAAGGAAAGAGTTGGGGCAAAATTAGAAAAATGTAGGTATCTTAGTCTACTTGGGCTGCCATAACAAAATACCATAAGCAGTGTGACTTACATACAACAGTTGTAGAAAATGGGTACGTAAAGAGATGCAGTCAAAAACACTACAGTTAAATCTAAATGAGATGTTAAAAGATATTTATATAACCCACAGGCAGGAAAAACAAATTAGAGAAATGAATAACAGAACAAACAGAAAACAAACAAATAAATAAATAAAATGGTTGACTTGAATCCTAACATAGCAACAATTGCATTTAATATAAATGGTCTAAATATACAAATTAAAAGAGATTGGAGAGTGGATTTTTTTTAATTGACCCAAAGATTTATTTCTATAACAACCTCAACTTAAATGTAATTATATAGATAGGTTTAAAGTACAAGGATGGACAAAGAAATATCATACAAACATTAATCAAAAGAAAGCAGGAGTGGTTATATTATTATAGCATAAAATCAACTTCAAAGCAAAGATAACTACCTGGTACAGAAAGGGACACTGTATAAGGATAAGGGAGTTAATGCATCAAGAAGACATATCAGTCCTAAATGTGCATTCATTAAGAAATAGAGCTACAATATATGTGGGACAAACACTAATAAAGCTGAAATGATAAATAGACAAATCCACAATTATAGTTGGAGTTCCTCTCTCAAAAATTAATAGAATAAGTAGAGAAAAAATCAGCAAGGAAATAGAACTCAACCACACCATCAACCAACAGGACCTAATTCCCTAAGACTGGTGGTAAGACAATGATATTCATTCTCATTACTGCCATTTGTCATACTACTGGAAGCTCTAGTCATTGCAATAAGGCAAGAAAAGGATATATAATGCATACAGGTCACAAAAGAAGAAATAAAACTGCCTGTCTTCTCAAGTAACATGATTGTCTACATAGAAAATCCCAAGAAATCAACAACAAAAAAAACCTGCCCAAAACTAAGTGAATTCAGCAACATTGTAGGTTTCAAGATCAACATACAAAATAATCACATTTCTATGTACTAGCAATGAATATGTGGAACTGAAAATTAGAAATACTATACCATGCACAAATGCTTGAAAAAAAACTTAAGTGCAAATCTAACAAAATATATACAGGACCTATATGCTGAAACCTGCAAAACGCTGATGAAAGAAATCAAAGAAGATCTAACTATACAGTGAGACCTACTCTATTCACAGATTGGAAGACTCAACATAGTAAAGGTCTCGATTCCTATCAAAATCCCAGCAAGGCATTTTGTAGAGATACACAAATATATTCTAAAATTTATTTGAATAGGCGCTGGCCCTAGAATATCTATTTTACAAAATTATTTATTTTACAAAAAGTATAAAGTGGCAGAAATCACTCTACTTGGTTTCAAGACTTACATAGCTGCAGTATGTGAGGTATTGGAGGACAAAGAAACACTTAGGTCAATGGAACAAGATAGAGAGCTTAAAATGTCAAATGTAAAGCCATAGAACTTTTAGAAAAAGACATAGGAGAAAAATCTGGGGACACAGCATTCGGTGAAGAGTTCTTAGACTGGACATCAAAAGTATAACCTATAAGAAAAATCAAAAGTATAACCTATAAAAAAATTAATAGAACTTCATCAAAATTAAAAACTTTGATCTGTGAGAGACTCTGTTAAGAGGATAAATAACAAGGTACAGACAGAAGAAAAATATTTACACACCACTTATTTGACAAAGGACTGGCATCTAGCATATAAAAAGTACCCTCAAAACTCAACAGCAGTTAGGCCAAACAGTTGAATTAGAAAGTGGGTAAACTATATTTTTAAAAATTTCACTGAAGGGCTTCCCTGGTGGCACAGTGGTTGAGAGTCCACCTGCCGATGCAAGGGACACAGGTTTGTGCCCCGGTCCAGGAAGATCCCACATGCTGCGGAGTGGCTAGGCCTGTGAGCCATGGCCACTGAGCCTGCGCGTCCGGAGCCTGTGCTCCGCAGCGGGAGAGGCCACAACAGTGAGAGGCCCGCGTATCGCAAAAAAAAAAAAAAAATTTCACTGAAGAAGATATTGGGATGGCAAATAAACACATGAGAAGATATTCAACATCATCTGCTATTAGGGAAATGCAAATTAAGACTCAATAAGATATCACTGCATTGCACACTTATTAAAACAGCTAAAATAAAAGTAATGAAACTACCAAATGCTGGCAAGGATGTGGAGAAACTGAATCTCTAATGTATTGCTGATGGCAATGTAAAATGGTACAACCACTCTGAAGAGTAGTTTGGCAATTTCTTAAAACCCTAAACATACAGACCATAGACAACAACCAAACTTCTCGGCATTTCCCAAAGAAATGAAAACATGTCCACACAAAAATCTGTACCTGGTTCTTCATAGCAGCTTTATTTGTAATAGCCCCAACCTGGAAACAACCAAAACATCTTACTATGGGTGACTGGTTAAACTATGATATATCCTCAGCAATAAAAAGGAACTACGGATATACCCAACAACATGGATGAATCTGCAGAGCATGATGCTGAGTAGAAAAAGAATCAGTGTTGAATGTAAATTGATACAGCCACTATGGAGAGAAGTACGGAAGTTCCTTAAAAAACTAAAAGTAGAACTACCATATGACCCAACTATCCCACTACTGGGCATATACCCTGAGAAAACCATAATTCAAAAAGATACATGTACCACAGTGTTCATTGCAGCACAATTTACAATAGCTAGGACATGGAAGCAACCTAAGTGTCCACTGACAGATGAATGGATAAAGAAGATTTGGCATATATATATACAATGGAATATTACTCAGCCATAAAAAGAAATGAAATTCAGTTACTTGTAGTGAGGTGGGTGGACCTAGAGTCTGTCCTACAGAGTGAAGTAAGTCAGAAAGAGAAAAACAAATACTGTATGCTAACACATATATATGGAATCTAAAAAAAAAAAAAAAAAAAAGGTTCTCATGAACCTAGGGGCAGAACAGGAATAAAGACGGAGACATAGAGAATGGATTTGAGGACACGGGGAGGGGGAAGGGTAAGCTGGGACGAACTGAGAGAGTAGCATGGACATATATACACTACCAAACATAAAATCGATAGCTAATGGGAAGCAGCAGCATAGCACAGGGAGATCAGCCCAGTAGTGCTTTGTGACCACCTAAAGGAGTGGGATAGGGAGGGTGGGAGGGAGATGCAAGAGGGAGGGGATATGGGGATATATGTATACATAGAGCTGATTCACTTTGTTATAAAGCAGAAACTAACACAACATTGTAAAGCAATTACACTCCAATAAAGATGTTTTAAAAAAAGGTTATATACTGTAAGATTCTGTTTATACAACCTCTCAAAATATAGAGATGGAGAATAGATGAGTTATCATCAGGGGTTAGAGGTGGGAGGACAGGCTGGGTGTGACAGTAAAGGGGTAGCTGCACTGAGGCCTTTGTGGTGATAGAAGAGTTTTCTATCTTGATTTTGGTGGTGGTTACAGGAATCTACACTTGGTATAAAATGACACAGACCTACACACACACATAGCAAATTCCTGGTTTTGTATCGTACCATAGTAAAATAAGATGTAAGCAACTGGAGAAACCAGACGAAGGGTGCACTGGACCTTTCTGTACTATCTGTGTAATTTCCTAGGTGCTGTAATTAATTTTTTAATACAGAAAAATAATTAAAAATAAATCTTATTTTGCCTTGGCTAGCTGTGGCCCACATTATTTCTTAAGAGGGGAAACCGTGAGACTGTGGAAAACCCCAATACTCAATTTTACACATAAGCGTGATCTGGGGCACGAGAAAGGGGCTCTGTGGCAGAAACTGGGGAGCCCGGGAGGAGTTTCCCTTGAGCAGAGGGTGCGGAGGCGGGGTCCCCGCTGCTGAAGCCGGGAGTGAGGGGCGCGCAGCCAAGCTCCAGACCCACCCTCCGCCACCCCCGGAGCCGGTGCGGTGTCTTCACCGCGTGGCCAGAATGCTGGGGAGTGAGAAGCGCGGGCACTGTCGCTCCGGCATTCCGGACGGCCACAGCGCCGGGCCTCAGAGAGGAGCAGAAGAACTTTGAACTAGGAACATTTTTGGTTAACGGGATCGTCTCCCTCACTTTGGCTTCCCGCCTGTTGATGGTGAGTTAAAACCCTGCACTGCTTTCCTTCTCCAGAACCTCCCGAGGTGCTGGCGGGAGCCCTCTCGTGCGCCCGAGTCCAGAGCGGAGCCTGTCCCGGCCTGCAGGGGAGGGAGGCGGCCGCCGCGCGGGAGTCCGAGCCCCGGGAGGTGGATGGCACGCGGGGCGCGCGCAGCATGCAGTCGCTCAACATCACCCCGGAGCAGTTCTGGCTGCTGCGGGACCACAACCCGACACGGGCGCAGCTCATCGCGCTGTACGGGCTGCGGCCGCTCCCGCAGCTGCCTGGGCGCGCCAAGCTGGCCTTCGTGCTCACCGGCGTGATCATCTTCGCCCTGGCGCTCTTTGGCAACGCGCTGGTGGTCTACTTGGTGACCCTCAGCGAGGCCATGCGCACCGTCACCAACGTCTTCACCTGCTCCTTGGCGCTCAGCGACCTGCCCATCGCCTTCCTCTGCATCCCGGTCACTACACTCGAGAACATATTCAACAACTGGCTGGGGGGTGAGTCCGCGCGCTTTCCTTCTCCCCTAATCCCCAGCCTTCCAGGGGACCCCCTCCCCAACACACACTCTACTCTTCCTTCTTCCATTTTCCTCTCTACCAGCTGAACCCAGTGCCCTTTCTTAGAACTTCCTCACCTGCCCTCACTTGGAGATAACTTTTTGCTCCTTTTGATTCCGTTCCAGTATTTTTCTCCGTGTCGCTTAGAGACATAAGTTAGGGAAATGCTTAGGAGAGTCTCACCGCAGTGGGGTGGGAAGTGGCACCAGTTAGTTCAGCTCCCTTTTCCACAATTACCAAGACTTTTTCCTATTTTTCAAATAAAAGTAAGATAAAATAATTCAAATAATAAAAACCCCAACATCCCCTCATTCCTCTAACCTCCAGCCTCACTCCCCAGTTGCCCGTGGGGCTTCCAGACAGGTATTTGTACTGCAAGTATATATAAGGACTTAAAAATTTAAAACAAATATAATGCATTTGCAGAAAAAAAAAATCTAGTCCTTCTTTTTAAAAAATACATGAACAGAGTCACACTTGGAGAAGGAACACAGAAAATATATGCCCTCTTGACTGATGAAGGAAGAGAGATTAATTTCTCTTCCTTAGAATGGGAGCAGAAATGGCAGAGAACCATTTGGAGCCATTGTTAGGAGCAGTGTGTGGGAAAAAATAAGACACTGCACTTCTCCAAATGATGCAGTCTTTCCAAAGAGACATGACTGGATAGCGTGTTTTGTAACCCATAAATAGTAGTGGGTTGTATTCTCACAAGTGCTTATGGAGTGCCTTGGGGACGAGGAAACATTGATTGTACCTGTGTTTTCATGGGTGGATGTACTCTTGTGACCATCTCAAAATTCATAGAAAGTGACTGGAAATATAGGGAGAATGTGAGAGAAATGAATCATTGTGCTTTCAAACTCTGCTATTTCCACCCCTTCCTTAGCTAATTCCTTTTATTCTCATGGTGGGTGTTTCTTTCATCCTACCATTACCAACTTGAGATCCTCAATTTAAGTCCCTGGCATTGTTTTTTTTCATTAATTTGCGCCGGGTTTATTGTTAGTGGATCAGGTTGCTAAAATCTTTGATTCCCATCCCATCTATGATATATATATTTCCGCCAACACACTAAACATTAGAGTACATAGTATTATCTTGAAAGTGACACATAATGCAGAGTTGTAAATTGACTTATGGATGTAAGGTCTGTTGGCCCAGGTGAAAGGAGGCCCGGGGGGTAAGAGAAAACATCGACCGGTGTAAGGAAGGAGAGGCATTGGGACATAACGACCTCACCTGTTCTGGGAATCAACAAGAGACTCTGACTTCATGACCAGAGACAATGGGGCTGACGGGAAGGGAAGCGGGCTTACGCCCCACAACAGACCAACCAACACCTGGCCCTGCTGTATCCTCACCAAATAAGGAATTACCCTGTATAGCAAAACACC